TCCAACTGCCTTTCGACTTCCAACTGCCAGCGTTGTCGATACATGCCTAAAATGAAGTTAAATGAATAAGGACTTATTTGTTCTTCGCGTGTTCCTGATCACACACCCGAGTTCCTTACCTGTCTCATCTTTGGTAAGAATTTGACAGATTGTTTTTATCAGACAACCACAAGCGAAAATAAGTGTGCTACAAATTATTTCCATAGTTTAATGCGTTTATCTTTTTCTTTCTATCAAAGTTCTATCCTCTTCCTCAGCGTTGTGACTTAGGGTAATGCCCAATATATGCAATTGTTTTTAACTTTGTCATGGCTTGTTACTAATCCTTTCATCCTTTCTTGTTATCATGTCATGTCCTTTCTTGTTATCATGTCAATCCTTTCATACATTTCCCACACTCGAGAAAGTTTCAGGGTCTTTTTTTGCGTGGGCGGTGACGTTTTTGTCGTTATATCATAATATCGTTATCATTATCTTGCCGAATCCTTGCGGAAATGGAACACGGTCACGTGCATTCCACCAGACTAGAAAGGACAATGCATGAATGTGGATTATCAGCTGCAAACTGTTACTCAGCTTTTACAGATCACGAACAAGACGAGGTGATATCGAACATTCAGAAAGACTTTCCGAACGTTCTCGGCGTTATTGTGTTGCTGGGCCTCTTTCATTAGGGAGCTTTAGCAAGAGTACGACTACGACGAGTACGAAGTTTGACCGTGTAAGACAATGGCAAGAGGAAGTTTGTTGTAGTTGTCGCTTCGTCAAAATTTTGTTTTAGCTCTAAACAACAGAACGAGCCTTTTTATTGTGTAAAACACCAAAGTTTGCGAAGCAGCTACGGCTCTATTTGTCAATAATGATATCAACGAATCGGTAATACTGATTTTGCGAGAATATAGGACTCTTTAGACTGAAAAATCTTCACTATTTCAAGTTTAATGTACGATATATTTGTACTATTTTATTGTTTGTTTACCTTTCACTTTGCGTACGAAATACATGAAAGTTTTACAGGTCATATTTTCCTTTTTAATGTACATCTGCGCTCAAAAATGGGTTCTAAATTAAAGCCTGGATGCTAGTACTGTCAACTAATCTCTTAAGGAATGAAGAAATAAATCTACTTTCTTTGCTTAAAAAAGACATCGTAGTCGCGACTACGAATTTTTTACAAAACATCGTACTCAGATTGACGACGGCTACGTGTTTTTATTGTCGCAACAATGTTTTCGCGCCAAAATGACGTAAGTCGTACTCGTAGTCGTACTCGTAGGCTCTGCTAAAACTCCCTAATGTTTTCGCGCCAAAATGACGTAAATCGTACTCGTAGGTTTTGCTGAAGATCGCTAATACTTCTATAGTTCCATAACGACTCGGGTCCCTGTTATGATAAGCCTATGATATATTTTAAAATTTGCAATTCAAAGTGTATCTAAAAGAACTGTTTGCATAATTGCATTTATAGTGGAAATATGGATTGCATTGTCAATGTAGAAGTTCCTGTTGATAGTAATGTGCGTTTTGTGGTAGCTGTTTTTGTTTGTTATTAGGAGCTTTTAATGGTTATTAGTATTGGGGTGTTTTGCAAGTGTTGTAACGAAGGGCTGAGGGCTTAGCACTGAAATAGCACCTTTGATTATGGAGCCATTACGATAAATTTAGTATTTGTAATCGTTGTTAACATTACATATGAAGAAAAATTATCAGTTAAGTGCAGAAATTTGATGAATGTACGAAGTGCATATCGACATTTATGAGTAAGTGAATATATTACTTTATTACTAAACCAATACAATTCTGTTGATATCAAGACTCAACAAACTGTGCTAATTTAAACATTACAACGACAATATTTCTAGTTCGTTGAAATAAAATTTGTCAAAAAACTGTTTGTTAAATTTGTTAAAACACGCAAACTGTCTATTCTGACAAAAGCATTTCCTTCTTCTTTAAACATTTATGACAAAGACCCTGATCTTCTTCTGTACCAAAACATCCACAACCTTTAGTTACACATGGTATCAACTTTGATGTTCGCCTTTTTGCTGGTGATGAAGGCGCTGAAATACTTTGTCTCCCAACAATTGACTAAAGATAAAAAGAAACTGTCCTATAGATGGTATTGCAAAGTTGGTAAATGATTTTTTGGCAAAACCGAGTACAATTCCACAATCTTTAGAGATTATGCTAGAAATTGTTTTGTTTAGTTGATACAAAAACAAATATTTACCTGATAATAGTGGGGTTCATTCACATAATGAAGTCTGTTGAAATCATGATTTGTATTCTTTTGCTGTTGTGCTATTTGCCAGTTCCTTCTAGCTCGTTCTTGTTCAGCTTTGATCTTCTTTTCAGACTCTAAGTCATACTCAAGTTGCAATGCCTTTGCGTAACATTGTGAACACAAGTTATCATTCTCTGGGATGCCGAAGAATTGACATTCTTCAGTCAGACATCTTGTCTTTACTGCTTCCACATGGGGTACTGATTTTTGCCTGGATAAGTGAAGATAGTGTTGATAACATAGTTGACGTTTATTGGTCATAGCCATTTTGTCACAGTTAAAGAAAGTGCAAGTCTTATTTTCCATATCTGGTCCATTTAATTGTGAATTTGGCAAAACGTAGCCAGAATTTGAACGAGATACAGCTGGTTGTGTGGGCACACTTGCATGAACCTGCTCAAAAGTTTTATCATCTTCTGTTCCATTGTTGATAGTCCTTTCAATTGTGTTGTAGTTTATTGTCGATGAGAATGGTTCTACATGATTTTTTGTTATTTGATGAATATTATATATTTCTTTGTAGCAATCATAACACAGGCCATGTAAGTTAACATTTGCTCTGTTCACACAATTATTGTAACATCTATCATTAGGTGGTGCTGATGGGGTAACCATGTGAGGCCCCTCCTCCAATAATGCATGCAATTTGGTGAAACAGGTAGAACATAGGCCTTCATAATCTGGGTTGGCAGTGTAACCACAGCCAGGAGAAGTACAAATACGGGTGTTGTCTGTGTTTCGACATTGATGACAATAATTGCTTTCAGCACTGGCAATGTTTCTGCAGTTAATCTTTGCACAGGGTTTGTGCTCCTTACTATTTTTAAAATGGTCTTCATGATGTGTTGAATAAGATGTGATTGTACTTTGATCATTAAGTGATAGCTGTTTCATTGCCAATGTTTCCAAGTATATATGTTCCATTGATTTGAAATATCGTTTCAACATTCTATCAAGATGTGGATCTTGTTCAAAAGCTTCCATTTTAGCTACAAGTATTTCCATTATACACCCATTTTCATCAGTGTAATCTAACTTTAAACAGTTCAAATATTCCCTTAGTAATCGATCTGAGTAATTGCTTTCCTCTGGTAACAAAGAATGAAGTTTCATAGGCTGGCCGTCATATTTAGTTAATGGTACTCCCATCACCAATTTGTGATTATCCAATGCATGCCCTCTCTCATTATTTTCTGCCATCACAAGTGCTGTAAAGTGTCCATGGTGATAGCCAATCAGAAGAGGGGTTTTGATACAATCCACAGAGTCTGACAACAGTGGTAAGTATATGCCACCAAGGTTCACACCAGCAATTGGTTCATCATAGTCACCACGATGAAAATTGTCACATATTACCAGAATTGGTCTTCGAAGAACATTAGCTAAGGCAAATATATGAATCTCCTCTAGAGAGTGGAAGCTGTGGTTTTTGATTGATTTTGCTGTTGATGCTAGAGCGACTGTTTTCTTCCAGTCTTCGCTCCATTGCTCAATGCCAATATCCATTAGACTTCCACCATTCTGACCCTCCAACTGCCTTTCCACTTCCGACTGCCAGCGTTTTCGATACACTCCTGTAATAAAGATCAAATGAGAATTAAATATACATTATTAAAGCCACAAGCTAAAAGCGAGCAACATTTTCAAACCTGTTTGATCTTCAATAAGAACTTGATAAACAGTTTTTCTCAGCGTTAATCTTCGGTCATGAATACCCCACATACCAAGTGAAGCCGCGTGCATCAAACAATTTCCATCGCCCAAGGTGTTTATAGGAATAAACTTTGGGAAAATTTTACACCAGTTGAGCGACCTGTTGTTTTCCAACTCATTTTCAAGAGCAATGTTTACTAAAGCTGTGAAAATATATTCGCAAAGATCTTTATTCAAGCGAGAAAAAGCCGGGAATAGGAAAGTGTATCGCGGTGATGTTAATAGGAATCGATGTCTGTCTTGATCTGCAGGGATAGTGACATCCCTATCAATTGAGTCACGAATAATTTCCGAAGTTGCAACGTCTATTGAAGAAATACTTCTTTGCAGTTCCATTGCGACTGGGATCCCTGTTATCAAAAGCATGTAAATTATTTATTAGAAATTACTTAAATTTGCAATTCAAAGTGTATCAAAAAATCGTATCTTGAAAAATGGATTGCAATTTGTAACAAAACATCTGCTATCGGAAAATACGTCGTTTAAATCACATGATCAAAATGTTTTATCATGAAAAGTTTTACTCATACCTTTGATGTTGCGTGTGGTTGTGCTTTCCTTTGAAAAGTACAATGGGCATTCTGACAAATAAACTTCCCTGCCTTAATATAACAAATTTTTTCTTTTTGATCTGCTGTTTCTTCTTTAACACTATGATTTGCTAAAATGAGAATGCTACTATCAATTTATACAACACAACAACAATGCCTGAACATTCAAGGTTACGGTTCGTTCCCCGGGGTATGATTCCCCGTCAATAGTGTTTCTGTTTATAACATCACAGGATTTAGGGGAAACCCCTTTGAATACAGTGGTGAAAAATAGCAGTGTACGTGGGTGGTGACTTTTTTCAGTGAGGCGCTATCGACTATATAACAAGCTTGTTTACGTGGGCAGTGACGTTTTTTGGCTCTAAGTACGCATCGACCTCGTACAAACCACACTATATCTTGCGTTGGATAGTGCAGGCTAGCTGTTCCGAAATCTGTGGAAATTACTAATGGCCGATCGCAACTCTTGGCTGCATGTCGCTAGTCTTGGTGTTTGTGGAATTAACAGCAATTCAATGAGGCAGAGAAACATTATCAGACAAACTCTTATTAAAGATCGAACAGGTTTGAAATGTTGCTCGCTTGACCTTGTGTCCAGAACAGAATTATCTGGTAACTGCTATAGGGTTTAGCACCTTAAACGAAGTTTGTGACCTACCCACCGAGAAGCCCAGCAAATGCGTTTATTCATTTCAACATCATTTTAGGCACTTATCAAAAACGTTGGCAGTCCGACTTGGAGGATGAGAATGGTGGAAGTCCAATGGATATTGGCATTGAGCAGTGGAGCGAAGAGTGGAAGAAAACAGTCGCTCTTCCAACAACAGCAAAATCAACTACACACAACAGTTTTCACTGTCTTGAAGGAATTCATTTATTTGCCTTGACTAATTTTCTTCGAAGACCAATTCTGGTAATATGTGACGATTTTCATCGTGGTGACTATGATGAACCAATTGCTGGTGTAAACGTTGGTGGTATATACTTACCATTGTTGTCTGACTCCGTGGATTGTATCAAAACCCCTCTTTTGATTCGCTACCACCATGGACACTTTACAGAATTTGTGATGGCAGAAAGTAATGAGAGAGTATCATTAATGAAACATGATGGCCAGCTTATGAAACTCCGTTGTTTGTTACCAGTGGAAAGCAATTTCTCAGATCGATTACTGCGGGAATACTTGAACTGTTTAAAGTTGAATTACACTAATGAAAATGGGTGTATAACGGAAATACTTTTTGCAAAAATGCAAGTCTGTGATACTTGCGGCTAAAATAAGTACGCAATGTGTGCATGTGGATAGCCTTAATGTGACATAACAGGGGCTGCAACAAAAGTACTGCGGGCTCATGTTGAATGTTTACTGACGTCATGTCTCTGTTCTCGTTTCGGCGTGCAATGAACATAATTTGTAATAAGTTAACTTAAGCTCAACTTTTTAAATAGCATTGAATATAAGACGTTATATCATAATGTAATTTGATCATTTATGTAAATCATTTGAAGTATTGTATAATGAACATAATTTATATAAGTTAACTCAAGCTCAACTTTTTAAGCAGCAGAGAATATTTTACATTATAATGTAGTTTGATCAATTATGTTAGTCATTGAAAATTCTGTATAATAAACATAATTTATTGATACAACATGAAGTATAGCTATAAGCAAAATATCATCAGTAAAGTCAACGTAAATGATCTTCTATCTTTTTGAAAATGAAGCTATCGTCAGCATTATGTTTTTTACAGTCAGTTAGTCAGTTAACTTACTTCACTATACTTTACACGTAGAAACGGACTATATTTTAAAACTGTAGTTTTGTTTCCGAGTCGGCTAAATACGGCACAGTGAATCCATTTCATGTGTTTTTCGGCAAACGTGAATAATTGTATAATTGTAAAATATGTATAATTGATGTCGTTGATCACTCGATTTTAGCTGATGTATTACATTTAGAAAATTTAAATACTTAAATTTGCATTTGAAACGGCACGATTGTATACGTGGGCGGTGGCGTTTTTCGCTAAAATTCCTACGAATTCCAACATTGCAAGAAATTCACATCATCTCTCATTAAGTTAATATTGTTCCTATGACAATTTCGTATAACAAGGGGCGCACGGACGCGTGATTTGCATGCATCGATCCACTTCGTACAATTCACAATATATCTTGCGTTGGTTGGTGCAAGCTAGCTGTTCCGAAATCTGTGGACATTACTGATGGCCGATCGCAACTGTAAATGATCTTCTATCTTTTTGAAAATGAAGCTATCTTCAGCATTATGTTTTTTACAGTCAGTTAGTCAGTTAACTTACTTTACTATACTTTACACTTGGAATGAACCCTTCAGAATGTGGAGAGTTGCAAAATATAATGTGCTCAAGTTTATGATGCTATTACAAATTTTACCACGAACTATTGAGGAAGTACCAAGATTAAAAAGAGTTTACTTTCTGGGGTGTAAATTAACATGTCGCGATTTGCAAAGCGCGATACATCGCGAGGTAAATAGCAAAAGCTTTTTTGTTTACAATTTTCATATAAAGAATTACGTCAGCCAATCACGATCGAGACTGCACCAACATTGCATAATAATCGCTGATAATAATACATATTTCCCATTTCTGACTTGGAAAAGCCGAAAATAAGTCGAAGTGTAGACGTAGAAATTGCCCATCTTCCTCTCAAAAAATTTCGGTTGACGATTTACGAAAAGATGGCAACGAGGAACTACGTCAAGAATATGTATGGTCAAGGACATTAAATGACATTCATTCTATTAATTTGAAAGTCGGCAATGATCTAATGTTGGTGTAATTCTGTTTGTTCTTGTTTTAAAATATGGGTTGTCACTCTTATGCTCTATTGTCACTTGGATGCTTCTTTGCTTGTACTCCCCCGTGAATGTCCGTCGATATGATAGGTCGTAATTTAGAAGAGGAGGATTGAAATGTTTTTTTATAGTTCACTTCTAAATTTAATCTTCCCAGCACAACCGATAGGAAGTTACATATATTTACACCTCTGTGCTCCAAATTGTATGAAGTGTAACCATGATCTTGAGAGCTACGATAAGCAGGTAAAAGTTTAAGTAAACGATCTTAGGTGTACCGAAACTACAACCATTGAAATCAGCCGACGTTTAACTTTTGCATGATTCAGCTGTAATCGACTCTCAATAAGACATAAACGTATTTGAAAGGAATTTAATGCTTGGCACTTGCAATGTTATAGTTCCTATGATTTTGTTTACACTTCTTTCCGTTTAGTCATCATGTAAACGACCGCAATTTAGCACAATAAATAGTTGTTTTGTGTGTGGTTTATTAAGCTATTTGTTATCAAGCCGGCTTGTATATGTAATAACAAACGCGTTGCATTATTTTAACTTTCTCAACGTACTGAATTACTGTGTATGCATTGCTTTATTTCTCGAGTTGTATTTAACGTAAAGATTTTAGACTTGGTATGCAAAGTAATAATACAATACTCTTTCATTTGAGCCTAAGTTGTTCCGAACTCTGACTTCCCTGTTCACACGATACCGGATTCGTCTTGTACCGGATTCGCTGAGCAATCCGATACGAAAAATGCACTCTGTTCACACGATGCCGGATTCGTAAGACGATACATAAGTTTTAATATCGCCCCAGTACTTGTGCGTGCAAGCGATAACGACGATGGTTGCTAATTCAAATAATTCGTAAGAAAATGAGAATTTTTTTTGACAGATAACTAAGTAGAGTTTCTTCTTAGGCGTATTAAGGTTTTTTACGAATGGGCGCAAGGACTGGAAGAGTGTAAAGTCCAAATACGACCGAATATATGTTGCCATTACAATAATACTAGAAAGAAGCTTTTCACACTGCGATAATACATTGTTAAAAGCTTAAACATGCCATGTTGAAGATATATTATATTTGCTGGCGGATTATTCATTTAAAACATAGTTTGTATCTCTATGTTTGCTTTCATTTTTGAAAAATCGCACGGACTTCTTAGTTACCAAAGTGGAACGTATCGGATTCAAGCGTTCACACGACAACGGAACGTATCGGATTGGTTTTTCTACCACTTCCACAGCGGAGTCAAATCGCTCCGGAAAAACGATACAAAGCGTATCGGATAGCAGCGAAGCCGTGTGAACGCAAGGCCTATCCGGTACGAAAAGTAATCCTGTATCAAACGAATCCGGTATCGTGTGAACAGGGCCAAAGTTATACAGGCAGTCGAAATTTATTTTAAAGAGTTAAGTTGTGGAGATTTGTGTGTCGTAGCTTTTGCTATTTACCACATTTATTACGCTGCGAGTCTTCAAAAGCTTATCGCGAATCGCGACATGTTAATCTGCACCCCAGAAAGTAAAATCTTTGTAATTCAATAGTTCGTGGCACATTTGTATTATCATCATAAACGTGAGCACGTTATTTTTTGGCAACTCACCTCGTGGATATTCAATTTGAGAGAGAGCGTACAGACAGTAGAGAAAGACAAAGATCTGAGTCTCTTGACTGATTTTACGCAATTCATCTTTCTCGCATTCAAAACAAAGAATAGTATATTGCATTTCACGGATTGTTTTTCTTACAAGACTTTCCCTAGCTTAGTGTATATCAGTTTAACGTGTCTATGCACATGTAATAACAAACGCGTTGCATAGTTTTAACTTTCTCAACGTACAGAATTACTGTGGCTTACATTTTAGATACAAGTATTTCCTTTATACACCCATTTTCATCAGTGTAAATCAACTTTGAACAGTTCAAGTATTCCCGCAACAATCGATCTGAGAAATTTCTTTCCTCTGGTAACAAACAACGGACTTTCATAGGCTGACCATCATGTTTCATTAATGGTACTCCTTCATTATTTTCTGCCATCACAAGTTCTATAAAGTGTCCATGGTGGTAGCGAATCAAAAGAGGAGTTTTGATACAATCCACGGAGTCAGATAACAGTGGTAAGTATATGCCACCAAGGTTTACACCAGCACTTTGGTCATCACAGTCACCACGATGAGAATCGTCACATATTACCAGAATGGGTCTTCGTAAAAAGTTAGTAAAGGCAAATATATGAATGCCCTCAAGGCAGTAAAAACCTGGTGTTGTTGGAACAGCGACTGTTTTCTTCCAGTCTTCACTCCATTGCTCGACACCAAAATCCATTGGGGTACCAGCCTTTTGATCCTCCAACTGCGTTTCGACTTCCAACTGCCAGCGCTGTTGATAAGTGACATCTTCAGTAAGAATTTGGCTGATTGTTTTCAGCAGACAACCAAAAATAATTTCCATAGCGCTTTTATTTGAGTAAACAAAAGTCTACCAAAAGCTGTGTTTGAAGTTTAAACGAAGGACAAAGTGTGACGAAAGACACTCTTAAAAGACACAAAGACACACCGGTTCCAGCGTAAATCTCTTCGATGAAGTGAATTTTAACTAATTCAAGAAAATGAAGTGACGAAGAAAAAGCCAATATTGCAGGAAGCAATATTGGTCGAAAAAACAACTATCAATCAAACACAACCTCATCGTCGGGTGCCGTTTTCTTCAAATTGGTCTTCGAAGAATATTAGCTAAGTTCTTCGCGTGTTCCTTATAACACACTGCAACGCGTTTGTTACTATATATGCCAATTTGTATGATTACGTTAATGTATGATGGTAATATTGTTTGATTTGCATGCGAGAAAGAGCGCACGTGGGCGAGGGACGTTTTTGTTAATTAATTCCAGGATCACTCCAGAAATACTTGATTGTTTATAGTTTAATTACACAGCTAAGCAAAACGAAGCACTCGAAGCGTTCAGGAAGCGTGTTTACAATTGGCCATGGAATGTTTACACCGAAATACCGACAGTTACTTAGCTTTTACAGATCACGAACTAGACGAGGTGATATCGAACATTCAGAAAGACTTTCCGAACGTTGGCTCGAAAAGAATGACAGGCCTTTTGCTATCCAGAGGTGTATTTGTCCAACAAACACGCATTCGTCAATCGATGCGCAGAGTTGATCCAGAGGGAACACTTTTACGAGCTTTTAAAATGCGTGTAATTTCTCGAAGGCGTTATTGTGTCGCTGTGCCTCTTTCATTAAGGAGCTTTAGCCAAGAGCACGACTACGACAACGAGTATGAAGTTTGACCGTGTAAGAGAATGGCACGAGGAAGTTTGTTGTCGTTGTCACTTCGTCAAACACCGAAGTTAGGGAAGCAGCTACGGCTCTATTTGTCAATTATGATATCAACGAATCGGTAATACTGATTTTGCGAGAATATAGGACTCTTTAGACTGAAAAATCTTCACTATTTCAAGTTTAATGTACGATATATTTGTACTATTTTATTGTTTGTTTACCTTTCACGTTTACCTTTCACATAGCGCTTTTATTTGAGTAAACAAAAGTCTACCAAAAGCTGTGTTTGAAGTTTAAACGAAGGACAAAGTGTGACGAAAGACACACTTAGAAGACACAAAGACACACCGGTTCCAGCGTAAATCTCTTCGATGAAGTGAATTTTAACTAATTCAAGAAAATGAAGTGACAGAAGAAAAATCGAAGAAAAAGCCAATATTGCAGGAAGCAATATTGGTCGAAAAAACAACTATCAATCAAACACAACCTCATCGTCGGGTGCCGTTTTCTTCAAATTGGTCTTCGAAGAATATTAGCTAAGTTCTTCGCGTGTTCCTTATAACACACTGCAACGCGTTTGTTACTATATATGCCAATTTTTATGATTACGTTAATGTATGATGGTAATATTCTTTGATTTGCATGCGAGAAAGAGCGCACGTGGGCGAGGGACGTTTTGGCTAATTAATTGCAGGATCATTCCGGAAATACTTGATTGTTTATAGTTTAATTACACAGCTAAGCAAAACGAAGCACTCGAAGCGCTCAGGAAGCGTGTTTACAATTGGCCATGGAATGTTTACACCGAAATACCGACAGTTACTTATCGAACATTCAGAAAGACTTTCCGAACGTTGGCTCGAAAAGAATGACAGGCCTTTTGCTATCCAGAGGTGTATTTGTCCAACAAACACGCATTCGTCAATCGATGCGCAGAGTTGATCCAGAGGGAACACTTTTACGAGCTTTTAAAATGCGTGTAATTTCTCGAAGGCGTTATTGTGTTGCTGGGCCTCTTTCATTAGGGAGCTTTAGCAAGAGCACGACTACGACAACGAGTATGAAGTTTGACCGTGTAAGAGAATGGCACGAGGAAGTTTGTTGTCGTTGTCACTTCCTCAAACACCGAAGTTAGGGAAGCAGCTACGGCTCTATTTGTCATTTGTCAATTATGATATCAACGAATCGGTAATACTGATTTTGCGAGAATATAGGACTCTTTAGACTGAAAAATCTTCACTATTTCAAGTTTAATGTACGATATATTTGTACTATTTTATTGTTTGTTTACCTTTCACTTTGCGTACGAAATACATGAAAGTTTTGCAGGTCCTATTTTCCTTTTTAATGTACATCTGCGCTCAAAAATGGGTTCTAAATTAAAGCCTGGATGCTAGTACTGTCAACTAATATCTTACGGAATGAAGAAATATATCTACTTTCTTTGCTTAAAAAAGACATCGTAGTCGCGACTACGAATTTTTTACAAAACATCGTACAAAAATTGATGACGGCTGCATGTTGTTGTTGTCGCAACAATGTTTTCGCGCCAAAATGACGTAATCGTACTCGTAGTCGTACTCGTAGTCTTTGCTAAAGCTCGCTAATACTTTTATAGTTCCATAACGACTCGGGTCCCTGTTATGATAAGCCTAATTTGCAATTCAAAGTGTATCTAAAAGAACTGTTTGCATAATTGCATTTATAGTGGAAATATGGATTGGATTGTCAATGTAGAAGTTCCTGTTGATAGTAATGTGCGTTTTGTGGTAGTTGTTTTTGTTTGTTATTAGGAGCTTTTAAAGGTTATTGATATTGGGGTGTTTTGCAAGTGTTGTAACGAAGGACTGAGGGCTTAGCATTGAAGTAGCACCTTTGATTATGGAGCCATTACGATAAATTGAGTATTTGTAATCGTTGTTAACATTATATATGAAAAAAAATTATCAGTTAAGTGCAAAAATTTGATGAATGTACGAAGTCACCACGATTAAAATTGGCACATATTACAAGAATTGGTCTTCGAAGAATATTAGCTAAGGCAAATATATGAATCTCCTCAAGACAGTAAAAACTTGGTGTTGCTGGAAGAGCGACTGTTTTTTTCCAGTCTTCGTTCCATTGCTCGACACCAAAATCCATTGGGACACCAGCATTTTGATCCTCCAACTGCCTTACGATTCCCAGCTGCCAGCGTTGTCGATACATGCCTAAAATGAAGTTTAAATGAATAAGGACTTATTTGTTCTTCGCGTGTTCCTCATCACACACCCGAGCTCCTTACCTGTCACATCTTTGGTAAGAATTTGACAGATTGTTTTTATCAAATAACCACAAACGAAAATAAGTGTGCTACAAGTTATTTCCATAGTTTAATGCGTTTATCTTTTGATGTCCCTCACTCTTGAGTCTCATGATGTCTGTGATTTGAGTAGTAGTACTCAAGTGGGTCATTACCATTACTAATATTATAGCTAAGTGCTATCTTTGTCATGGCTTGCATAATTGTCCTACCCTCTTGAATAATAACTTAATAGCGAAAGTGGCGAGTGAAAAATAAATGCCAACATTGCCAATATATGCAATTGTTACGAAATTGTGTATGAGGCTTGTCACATCCAATGTATACCAACATTTATATAAGTAAGTGAATACATTTCATATTAAATACATTAAATACATTGAATACATTAACATCAACACCAACAGTTACAATTCTTCTCGGGACTTTACTAACTTGGACGATTTACATCTTTAAACATGTAACGGATACTCCCTGACTCAAAACATTTATAACAAAAACCCTGATTTTCTCCTGTTCCAAAACATTCACAGCCTTTGAGCTGGTGATGAAGATGCTGCAGCACTTTTCTCACCAAAAATTGGCTAAAAAATAAAAAACCTTACTCTAGGTGAAACTGAAAAGTTGGCAAATAATTCCTTCTCCTGATAATGAAGTTCATTCTCGTAATGAAACCTGTGCAAAGCATGGCTTGTTGCGTTATTTTCCTGTTCTTTTTATCTCGTTTTTCTTCTGTCTTGAGTCTTCTTTTCCGACTTTAGTTTTAGAGTTGCATAACATTGTGAACACAAGTTTTCATTCTCTGGAGTACCAAAGAACACACATTTTTTAGTCAGACATCTTCTCTCGACCGTTTCTACTTTTCTTGAAATAGGCGAAATTTTCGCACAGTTTGGATGGGATACAACGTTAACTGAGCGCGTGGATGAACTTGCGTTAAAAACATGAAATTTCTTTTCATCTTTCCTTCCACTGTTTGTTGTTTTTCTAGTTGTATTACCTTGCACATGGGATGTGGATTGTCCGATATCTTTTTTTCCTGAAGAACGACAGTTGAGAAACTTTTCTTTGTAGCAATCATAACACAGGCCACGTAAGTCCTCATTTCCATTGTTCATACAGTCATTATAACATCTATCGCTAACTGACACAAATGGAGTTGCCCTCTTTGGTCTCTCGAGTAGTATAGACTTCAATGTTGTAAAACAGACAGAACATAGGTCTTCATATTCTGGGTTCGCAGTGTTACCACAGCCAGGAGAAGTACAAATACGTGTGTTGTTTGTGTTTCTACATTGATGACAATAATTGCTTTCAATACTGGCAATGTTTCTGCAGTTAATCTTTGCACATGGTTTATGCTCCTTTCTATTTTTAAAATGGTCTTCATATTTTGTTGAATATGATGCCATTGTCCTCTGATCATTAAAATCACAAACCTGAAATTTCTTTCCATCTTTCCTTCCCATGTTGGTTGTTTTTCTAATTCTATTGCATTGGACAACGGATCTGGATTGTCCGACGTCCTTTTTTGCTGAAGAACGATAATTGAGAAATTTCTCTCTATAGCAATCATAACACAGGCCGCGAAAGTCATCATTTCCTTTGTTCACGCAGTTATTGTAACATCTATCATTAGGTGACGCTGAAGGAGTTGCCGTCTTTGTTCCCTCGAGTAGTATAGACTTCAATGTTGTAAAACAGACAGAACATAAGTCTTCATAATCTGGGTTGGCAGTATAACCACAGCCAGGAGAACTACAAATACGGGTGTTGTCTGTGTTTCTACATTGATGACAATAATTGCTATTGATACTGGCAATGTTTCTGCAGTTAATCTTGGCACATGGTTTCTGCTCTTTACTATTTTTAAAATGGTCTTCATGTTTTGTTGAATATGATGTGATTGTCCTTTGGTCATTAAGTGATAGCTGATTCAATGTCAATGTTTCCAAATGTATATCTTCCATTGATTTAAAATATCTTTTTAACATTCCATAAACATGTGGATTTTGTTCACAAGCTTCCATTTCAGCGACGAGTATTTTCATTTCACACTCATTGTCAAATGTGTAATGTAACTTTAAACAGTTTAAATATTCCCGTTGTAGTCGATCAGAGTAATTTCTTTCCTCTGGTAACAAACAACGGAGTTTCATAGGCTGGCCATTATGTTTCATTAATGGTACTCCAATCACCATTTTGTGATCGGCCAATGTATGCCCTCTCTCATTATTTTCTGCCATCACAAGTGCTGTAAAATGTCCATGGTGATAGCCAATCAAAAGAGGAGTTTTTATACAATCCACCAAGTCTGACAACAGTGGTAAGTATATGCCACCAAGGTTTACACCAGCACCACGATGAGAATCGTCACATATCACCAGAATTGGTCTTCGCAGAATATTAGCTAAGGCAAATATATGAATCTCTTCAAGAGAATAAAAACTATGGTTATTGGTTGATTTTGCTGTTGATGCAAGAGCAACGGTTTTCTTCCAGTCTTCATACAATTGCTCTACACCAAAATCCATTGGTATACCAGAATTTTGATCCTCCAACTGCCTTTTCACTTCCGACTGCCAGTGTTTCTGATACATGCCTAAATTGAAGTTTAAATGACTAAGATATAGAGATTACTTCATAGTTATTAAGCGCGCATGGTTTTTCTAGTTGTTTCATTTAACAGAGAATTTATGTAAGATGTCAGACCATGGGAACGAGTTCTCTAAAGAACCAACTATGATGTAATTACCTGTTTATTTTAAGCACTATTTTTTCACTCAATGAAACATTTTAATGAATTATTATTCTTAAATCACACACTATAGCTGCATTTACACTATACCGGTTCGCTCATCACGACATCTTCATTTGCTTTAAAGGTGTAACTGTACGGAGTAAAAGCTTATTAAGTTGATAAATTTAGTCTATTTGATTGTGTTTCTGACGTTGAACAAATTCACTGCCTTTTAGTACAAAAGAAATTTAACCTGTTACGACTGCTACGATAGTAATCCGGTATAGTGTAAACGGAGCCTTATAGAATATATATTCTAATTATTTCTTTTGTGAATCGTTCATTTCATTGTGAATAAGATAGATAGCTCAATATATGAAATCATCATGTTCTTCTAGTTTTTTTCTGAAGAAAGCTGCAGTATATGGCCGAAAATTTAATAAAATATTTTTAAAAATAGTTTAAATCGAAAAAATGTAAGGTAGTAGAAAGAAGTTCAGTATAAAGAAGTTAGAAAAGAGTTTTGTAAACTAATTTCTTACTGGATGAATGAAAAACCAACGCTCCTTGTTTTTTAACACTTCGTTGTCAAGACAACGCGGGTGCGTTGCTACGAGCATCTGTCATCAAAACAGAGTTTCCGTTCAAATTGATATAATTCGTACTGCTAACTAATTTTTAATAGTGAATTTTCAGCGTTTTATAAAAACAGCATCATCAAATCCGCGAGTAAAATTTTAAAACCTGTTTGGTCTTCAATCAGAACTTGATAAACAGTTTTTCTCAGCGTTAATCTTCGGTCATGAATACCCCACATACCAAGTGAAGCTGCATGCATCAAAGAATTTCCATCGCCCAAGGTGTTTATCGGAATAAACTTCGGTAGAATTTTACACCAGTTGAGAGACCTGTTGTTTTCCAACTCATTTTCAAGAGCAATGTTTACTAAGGTTGCGTACAAAAAATCTTGAAAATCTCTATTGAAACAAGAAAGATTCGGGAACAAAAAAGTGTATCGCGATGATGTTAATAAGAATCGATGTTTTCCCTGATCTGCAGGGATAGTGACATCCCCATCAACTGAATCACGAATAATTTCCGAAGTGGCAACATCTATTGAAGAAATACTTCTATGCAGTTCCATAACGACTCGGGTCCCTGTTATGAAAAGCGTATAATATATTTTAAAATTTGCAATTAAAAGTGTATGTAAAAGAACTGTTTGCATAATTGCATTTATAGTGAATATGGATTGGATTGTCATTACATTAATATTGTAGTGGTTGCTGTTGATAGTAATGTGTTGTGTTGGCTGTCTTATTTCTGTGAAAAGGTGGTTGTAACGGTTATTGGTGTTAGGGTGTTTTGCAAGTGTTGTGTTGTGCAGGTGGGTTTTGTGGTTGTAGCTGTAAAAATTTGTTGCACTTGTTGAGTTCTTGGATTGTAATGTGTCCGAGTATCGTGAAACACGAAGGGCTCCAAGGTCCGATTGTGCTTCGGGCCCATAAATATACTGTAGAATATTCCATTGAATATCCAATACATTGCTTCAATGTAGTGCTCTATAAATATTTTTGTAAGGGCTGTCACAAATGTTTTTACGCATAAGAACATTTGTGACAGCTAGACAACTGTAATGGACACTTAAAAGTACAAAGGTAGTACACCTTTGACAAACTTACGTCTGTGATTTTTTGTTTATTTGCGTTGTACAGAAGAACAAAATTGTCTTATGAAAAGGTATGCAAAATTTAAGTGAGTCACTACTAACTGAAGTTACTTCTCTTGTACCGTAAAATTCAGGAAACCAGCGTTGTCTCTCATTGTTTAATTTACGAAAATGCAATAGCACCCTTGATTATAGAGCATTATCATAAATTGAGTATTTGTAATCGCTTTTAACATGATATACGACGAATAAATTATCAGTTAAGTGCAGAAATTTGATAAACGAGAAAAGACGTGGTTATTATGAGGCTATAGCCACACGTACGAAGTGCATATCTACATCTATAAGGAAGCGAATATATTACTTTATTACTAATATCAATACAGTTCTTTAGATATGAGGATTTAAGCCTTATGGAATGACAGTATTTCTTGTTCATTGAAACAAAATTTGTTGAAAACTGTTCACACCAATTGTCTATTCTAAGAAAAACATCTCTTTCTACTTTAAACATTTATGACAAAGACCCTGATCTTCTTCTGCACCAAAACATCCACAACCTTTAGTTACACATGGTATTAGTTTAAATGGTCGCCTTTATACTGGTGACGAAGGTGCTGAAACACTTTGTCTCTCAACAATTATCTACAAATATAAACAACTCTTCTGGCGAAAATGTGTACAATTTATTGATTTCTAGAGATTGTGTGAGAAATTTCTTTGTTTAGTTAATTCAACAAAAAATATTTACCTGATAATAGTGGGGTTCATTTACATAATACAGCGTGTGCAAGTCATGATTTGTATTCTTTTGCTGTTGTGCTATTTGCCAGTTCCTTCTAGCTCGTTCTTGTTCAGCTTTGATCTTCTTCTCAGACTCTAAATCATACTCAAGTTGCAATGCTTTTGCATAACATTGTGAACACAAGTTATCATTCTCTGAGAAGCCAAAGTATTGGCATTCTTCAGTCAGACATCTTGTCTTGACTGCTTCCACATTCCATGTTGATTCCAGTGAACTCCATATATATATATATCTGGAATGATAACGACAATACATTTTATAGATAAAAAGTTGAAGCCAAAGTCCTAGTCTCTTGCGCGGTTTGTACGTCAGTTCCAGTCCTTCAAAGTCGAATATTCACGCGGTTTGTACGTCAGTTTCATTCCCCTGAGTGCCAAACATACACGGCCAATATAAATTTGAATACAAATTGCAAAAGCATAAACATATAAACAACATCACGACAAACAACACACGAGGCCAACTCTTCGCAAAAGGTTATTTTTTACAGCTGAAACTTTACTACAGTGAGTTCGCTTTAACTTACAACTTGTAACGAGGAAAAGCCAACTGAAAATTACACTGTTTGCTAAAAAGACAATACAATAGAAAATATGACGAAAAAATATTCAAGCATAAATTTTTCTTTCGTCGGAAGGTAAACTCAAACGGAAAACAAAAAGACAGTGTTTGTCTTTTTGTCATTAAAATGGATTTAAAGATCTGTTTTTCCGAATAAAAAGAAACTTGAATATCCAGTTTCATAAAAATATCGAGTCTATAACTCGCATTTTTACTTTTTACAGAGCGATTGTATTTTTCATCGATTTTGATAGTGCTTGAAACTTGAAATACTAAATGGTTGTCATCTCGATATCAATAATTGAATATCCTTAAAGACTTTGATATGTTTTAAAGGAAAACCGCAGCGTTAGAGCAGATCGACTAAGTTCACCTCATCTTGCTTCTCGATTTATCACTTTGATTCACTTTCCGTGAACCTTTTCATTACAAACATTTCGTTATTTTTACGCTCTGATCAAGATCCGAACTCTACCATTACCAAGGGACAAATGATTTAAAAAAATAAAATGAACACGCGAGAGACTAGAGCCTGACGTGTGATGACGAATGATGACAACAAATATTTTTTTGGCTTCAATTTTTGGCTTCGGTTATCATTCCAGTTATTCAAATGTCGAGTTCACTGGTTGATTCTTGCCTGATGGGGCTACCATAACTGACACCTCTTAAAATTTTGGATGTAATTTGGTGAAGCAAACAGAACATAGGCCTTCATAATCTGGTTTGGCAGTGTACCTAGAGCCAGGAGAAGTACAAATACGTGTAATGTCTGTGTTTCTATATTGATGACAATAATTGTTATCGATACTGGCGATGTTTGATAAATATTTACCGAAATTTATTCCGTTAAATACGCTGGGCGATCGCAACATTGGCTACATGTGTCTTATCTTGGTGTTTGTGAAATATATTAACGTACATTGTTTTCGATTCAAAACGTTTCCGGTTCTGATGTCAGATGAGAGAAGACGGATATTTTGGCATGAAACTGTCGCCTGAATAAGATCAAATGAACTTCTCTGCCTAGTAACGCTGTAAATTCTGTAAGTAGTTAGATGAATTTATCCCTTCTTTTTTTATGCATTTGTTAAAATTATTTGTAATTATTTAGTTGAACCGTACGTAATAAAGTAATGCGCGTCTCAAAGTATCAGAAACTTGGCAGAGAATGGTTGAGCCGTTAGTCGAATTCTACAAAAAGTTCAAAGAATTTATCCTTATCAACTGATATATCGACGAGGCCCTGTTTTTAATTAACGATCTTTCGAATGGCTAAATCTAACAACGAAGCGACAAGCGTAATGAGTAATGAACAAACAAAGCAAACCACCCCAGCTCTCACCAGGGAAGAAGAACCTTCAACTCTCGAAACATCTGAACAACTACGAAGAAAACGATCTGCTGCAAAAGGCGCATTTACAAAAAAGATGAAGGAGTTAACCAAATCAAAATTGAGCTTTCGAAGCTTGAGCGAAGCAAACAATTAAAGCACAAGAATTCAACGAAGTTGTAAACAGATTTTACAACGCCCACAAGCGTCATCATGCTACAATAGAAGATGATTATGATCACCAAGACTCAAACGAATACCTTCAAATTGAACAACAAAGAATTTAAAATTTGTAAATGACCTTAAACGAATGGCTCAGAGAGTTTACAAAACAACCATCGATGTCAGAAGTCAAGATAAACCCCAGTGACTTGATTAGTAACGTCGGAGAGAAGAGCCGTGTTATAAAGTAAGTCTTTTGAAATCCGTTCCAATCCAAGGAAACAGCAAAACGTTTTCGTTATTTTATGAAATTCTTGTGAAACTAAAACACTTTCTTCATAATCGAATCGATATTAGTGGTTTTACGTCCAAGATTCTTTAAAAATCGGCGATTAAAACTTGTCGATTTTAATTGTTTTGGAAATATTCATAAGTCTTTACGCAGAGACTGCTATTATTACATGTAATATTTCTCATTTGATCTTCCTAGTATTTGATGATTTCGTTATTCTTTTTAAATTTCCAGACTCGAGGTTTGAAGCTACAGTAGATACAAAATCTACCCAGGTCATGGGAAAAGATATATACGTATAGATGGAAAGGTACTTACCTTTACAATGTTCAACTTAGAAGAACTGCTTAATTTATCCCTTTGTTGATATAAAGTTATTTTTAAAACACTCTTTAAATACTTGATTGTAAAATCACATCTATATTATTTTGCCATAACCAATAAATGTTTTATACATCAATTTAATAGTCTTTCAATTTCCTGGACAAAAAATGTGAGAGATCCTTCTTGATGAGAAGAAATCCACGAAAGATTTCATGGACTGTCCTTTACCGTAGAAAACACAAAAAGGGCTCAGTTGAAGAGGTATCCAAAAAGAGAACGAGACGAAATGTTAAATTCCAACGAGCCATCCAGGGTGCAACTCTTGAAACTATTTTGGCCAAACGCAATCAGAAGCCTGAAGTAAGAAAAGCACAAAGAGAGCAGGCAATAAGGTATTAAACACAACTGTCTTGTGTCTTTAATATCTAAAAAATTACATCTTTTATGCTTGACTAGAAGATTTTTGATTTTGTTTCTCAGTGAAGATTCTTTTTTACCTACATTGTATGAGTAACAACTGTGAGAATATGAATTATAATCAGAGAGAAACATTGAAAATCCTCAAAGTTAAACTGAATCAGATTTTGAGAAAATTGATCATTTCGATGATTTAAAAACATTTAGAGCTGCTAAAGATAAAATCAGGCTAAAGAAGGAGGCTAAAAAGATGACAAAGGTATGTAAAGGCTATAACAATTACTCAACTATTATAAAGTAAACTAGGTTGGCTTTCTCAGTGCAATTTCCTGTTGATAAACTGCTTTGAACAAAAATTTTCTGTTCAAACATTGAAATTAATATTTATTAAGAACTTTGACTGTTTGTTTGTGAGTGGGCTAATTGTATGACAAACTTTTCATGACTTACTTTGGGCAAAATTATGACACATATTGTGAATTTAATTCCCACACAAGGGAGTGATAAATTTCTTCATGAAGTTCAGTATTTATCATAAGTTTTCAATGATTCAATGAATCGTTGTCACTTTATATTGGGTATCATAAAATAGAAACAGTTTAACTTATGCAGTTAGTCTATAGCTGTGTTTGCAAACCATTCAAAGCTCAACCAATTAAAATCAATCAATCAATCAATCAAAGAGAATTTGCAAATGAATCATGAGTACATTTAGAGGAAGAATTAAAACTTTTGTTTAAATTTGTCTGTTTACATTATTGTTATTTTATAAAAGAACTAAAAGATGCTTTTCATGTTTGCACTGGCGTATGCAAACCTCAGAGACATTTGTGAGAACTCTCAAGCAAGTGCAACCATTGATGTTTGGTCTTGTGCTTGCAATGATCTGATCTTAATTTCTTTAAGATCTCTTTGGTTTGCATTCAATTGTGGAAAACAGTAAACATCTTTTATTTACTTCTTACATGAAGTAGACCATTCTTACTAAGATATCTCAATAACACTCATCATTTATTCAAGGCTGCACAACAACCAGTGAAGACAAAAGCTCCAACAAAACAAAAAGGTGGAAGAAGTACTGGTCGTGTTGGTGGAAAACGTTGAATGTAAATTATCACGCATTTCACTATAATAAATGGTCATGGTTTAATGGTATTTGCATTTTTTTAGTTTTATGTTTTAATTCCTGCTTCATTGTTCAATGTTGTGTAATCTGGTTGTGAATTAAGGATGAAAATTTGAATCACAATTTCAGTTGTGAAACATAACCTCCTACCCTCGTAATCCCCACCTAAACCTTCCCCTAACCCCTATCTGCCGAACAAATCAAACTGATAAAATCTTCACTTGTTTCATACAAGGCTGGTACCACTAAAATTTAACATTTAACTTGTAGACTTATCAAATCTTCACTTGTTTCATACAAGGCTGCTACCATTAAAACTAAACATTTAACTTGTAGACTGATCAAATCTTCACTTGTTTCATACAAGGCTGCTACCACTAAAACTAAACATTTAACTTGTAGAATGATCAATTCTTCACTTGTTTCATACAAGGCTGCTACCATTAAAACTAAACATTTAACTTGTAGAATGATTAATTCTTCACTTGTTTCATACAAAGCTGCCACCACTAAAACTAAACATTTAACATGTAGACTGATCAAATCTTCATTTGTTTCATACAAGTCTGGTACCATTTGAACTAAACATTTAACTTGTAGAATAATCAAATCTTCACTTGTTTCATACAAGGCTGGTACCATTATAACTAAACGTTTAACTTGTAGAATGTATATTTTGGCTCACAAATGTTGCGTGAAAGCATGAAAATATATTGAAACTTACCCTTTGTATCTACAGGGTGCATGCAAAATGCAACCCATTGAAATCAGCAGACGTTTAACATATGCATGATTCAGCCGTAATCAACCTCCAATGATACATAAACGTAATTGTAACGATAACACGAAAGGATTTAATGATTGGCATTTTACGCGTTTTTCCGTTTAGTCAACACGCAAACGACTGCAAATTTAGTACAGTAAATACTTAGTAGCGAGAGACTTGCCGAGCGGAAATCGAATTCGTGTAATAAAAATTAATGCCCAACATAAAGTTTTAATTAGAGCCATAGAAATAGACCAAAAACTACAATTTTTAAATAATTTTACTGCACCCCAGAAAGTAAAATATTTGTAATTCAATAGTTCGTGGTAAATTTGTAATATCATCATAAACGTGAGCACGTTATTTTTTGCAACTCTCCACAATCTGAAGGTTCATTCCTAGTGTAAAGTATAGTGAAGTAAGTTAACTGACTGTAATTATTTAGTTGAACCGTACGTGATAAAGTATGCGCGTCTAAAAGCATCAGACACTTGGCAGAGAATGGTTGAGCCCTTAGTCAATTCTACACATTGAGGCTGAGGACTACAATCTGTCTAATTTTACCTTACTATACTTTACACTTGGAATGAACCCTTTAGACTGTGGAGTTGCAGAATATAACGATGCTCAAGTTTATGATGCTATTACAAATTTACCACGAACTAGGAAGTACCAAGATTAAAAGAGTTTACTTTCTGTGGTGCAAATTAACATGTCGCGATTTGCAAAGCGCGATACATCGTGAGTAAAAGCTTTGTGTGTTTACACACAAAGAATTACGTCAGCCAATAACGATCGAGACTGCACCAACATTGCAAAATAATCGCTTATAATAATACATATTTCCCATTTCTGACTGGGAAAAGCCGAAAATATGTGGAAGTGTAGACGTAGAAATTGCCCATCTTCCTCTCAAAAAATTTCGGTGACGATTTACGAAAAGATGGTAACGAGGAACTACGTCAAGAATATGTGAGGTCGAGGACATTAAATGACTTTCATTCTATTAATTTGAAAGTCGGCAATGATCTAAATGTTGGTGTAATTCTGTTTGTCCTTGTTTTAAAATATGGGTTGTCACTCTTATGCTCTATTGTCACTTGGATGCTTCTTTGCTTTTACTCCCGTGAATGTCCGTCGATATGATATGTCGTAATTTAGAGAGGAAGATGGAAATGTTCTTTTATAGTTCACTTCTAAATTTAATAATCTTAGCACAACCGATAGAAGTTGCATATATTTACACCTCTGTGCTCTAAATTGTATGAAGTGTAACCATGATCTTGAGAGCTACGATAAGCAGGTAAAAGTTTAAGTAAACGATCTTAGGTTATCAAAACTACAACCATTGAAATCAGCCGACGTTTAACTTTTGCATGATTCAGCTGTAATCGACTCCCAATAAGACATAAACGTCTTTGAAAGGAATTTAATGCTTGGCACTTGCAATGTTATAGTTCCTATAATTTTGTTTACACTTCTTTACGTTTAGTCATCATGTAAACGACAGCAATTTAGCAAAGTAAATACTTGTTTTGTGTGGTTTTAAGCCATTTGTTATCAAACCGGTTTATATATGTAATAACAAACGCGTTGCATTATTTTAACTTTCTCAACGTACTGAATTACTGTGTATTTGAAAATCTTAAGAGTATACAAAGTTATACAGGCAATCGAAATTTATTTCAAAGAGTTAAGTTATGGAGATTTGTGTGTCGTAGCTTTTGCTATTTACCACAATTATTACGCTGCGAGTCATCAAAAGTGTATCGCGAATCGCGACATGTTAATCTGCACCCCAGAAAGTAAAATCTTTGTAATTCAATAGTTCATGGTAAATTTGTAATATCATCATAAACGTGAGAACGTTATTTTTTGCAACTCTCCATAATCTGAAGGGTTCATTCCAAGTGTAAAGTATAGTGAAGTAAGTTAACTGATTAACTGACTGTAAAAAACATAATGCTGACGACAGCTTCATTTTCAAAAAGATAGAAGATCATTTTCGTTGACTTTAGTGATGATAACTTGCTGATAGCTATACTTCATGTTGTATCAATAAATTATGTTTATCATACAGTATTTCCAATGACTAACATAATTGATCAAATTACATTATAATGTAAAATATTCTCTGCTGCTTAAAAAGTTGAGCTTAAGTTAACTTATTACAAATTATGTTCATTACACACCGAAACAAGTACAGAGACATGACGTCAGTAAAGCGTTCAACATGAGCCCGCAGTACGCTTATTGCAATTACGTTTATGTCTCATTAAGGCTATCCACATGCACACATTGCGTACTTATTTTAGCCACAAGTATCACAGGCTTGAATTTTCGCTACAAGTATTTCCATTATACACCCATTTTCATCAGTGTAATTCAACTTTAAACAATTGAAGTATTCCCGCAGTAATCGATCAGAGTAATTCCTTTCCTCTGGTAACAAAAAACGGACTTTCATAGGCTGACCATCATGTTTCATTAATGGTACTCTCTCATTATTTTCTGCCATCACAAATTCTGTAAACTGTCCATGCTGGTAGCCAATCAGAAGAGGGGTATTGATACAAATTTGTAATATCATCATAAACGTGAGCACGTTATTTTTTGCAACTCTCCATAATCTGAAGGGCTCATTCCTAGTGTAAAGTATAGCGAAGTAAGTTAACTGACTGTAAAATTTTAATTTCGTCGTGGATACACAACTTGAGAGAGAGCGTACAGACAGTAGAGAAAGACAAAGATCTGAGTCTTTTGACTGATTTTACGCAATTCATCTTATTCACCTTGAAAGCAAAGAATAGAACCTTGTATAATATAGTAGCATAATTAATGTATGTTTAAATAGTTAGTGTAATTAAGTTATATATAAATAGTTAGTGTAATTAAGGTATGTATAATGACTAGTTGATAGATGGAAGCTCATGTAAATAAGAGAGCATTTCTCAAGTAATAATATATTACACCTTGGAAGCTCACTAAACATATTTTCTAAAGTTCTAGAATGTCGTGTATATTTTATATCGTTAGAACAGCGTCCATGCAAGACTTCCCACAAGGCTATTTTAGCCACAAGTATCACAGGCTTACATTTTAGCTACAAGTATTTTCGTTATACACCCATTTTCATCGGTGTAATTCAACTTTAAACAATTCAAGTATTCCCGCAGTAATCGATCTGAGAAATTCCTTTCCTCTTGTGACAAACAACGGAGTTTCCTAGGCTGACCATCGTATTTCATTAATGATACTCCTTCATTATTTTCTGTCAACACAAGTTCTGTAAAGTGTCCATGGTGATAGCGAATCAAAAGAGGAGTTTTGATACAATCCACGGAGTCAGATAACAATGGTAAGTATATGCCACCAAGGTTTACACCAGCAATTGGTTCATCATAGTCACCACGATTAAAATTGGCACATATTACCAGAATTGGTCTTCGAAGAATATTAGCTAAGGCAAATATATGAATCTCCTCAAGACAGTTAAAACTTGGAAGAGCGACTGTTTTCTTCCAGTCTTCGCTCCATTGCTCTACACCAAAATCCATTGGGATACCAGCATTTTGATCCTTCAACTGCCTTTCGACTTCCAACTGCCAGCGTTGTCGATAAGTGCCTAAAATGAAGTTTAAATGAATAAGGACTTGTATGGAGTCGAGTTATCCGGCTAGCCAAGAAACTCCATCAATCGGGTACGGTACCGCTCGCATATTTGTTAACATAATTTTGCGTATGATGAGCTTATCTTTCTTGTATCATACGTTCATCGTTCTATTTTATACGCGTATCGTTTTTTTGAATCTCTGACAACGGCTGATGTAGTCTGTCTGCTTACAGGACAATTGCTCGATGCTAATTCGCGGCTATTTTTAGTGTATTTCTGTCCTTCCTTACTTAATATTAGTAGCTATTCTTTCTTTGGAATAAGGTGATAAAGGTGTCCCCGCAGACATGAGAAAATAGTTTTAACACATGCGTATCTACGTCTGCGATCTCTGATAGTGTCCGTATTGAATAAAAAGTGGTTTCATTCGACAAAGCATTTTTTTACTGTAAGATACGCAGATACGCGTGTATCGTATTTTACTCGTTTGTGCGCTGAATCTAAAGCCTAGGCCACACTATCCTCCATATGGACGAAAAAGATGATTTGGCCTAACTTAGTAACTTTTCCTACTTTACAATTCACGTATTAATCGGTAAAACTGAATTCGTGGTAATGAATTCCTAGCCACACTATAGTGTGGCCTAAAGCCTAGGCCACACTCGTCCATATCGACGAAAATTAGAACGAAAACTGCCGCAACGAAAATCTTGAACGAAAATTTCGTTTTCGTGCAGATTAGAAGAGTTGAATTTTTGACCTTTTTCGTTAACGAAAACGCATGCAATTGGCTAATAATCTAAAACTTTACTACACAAAGATGGCAGGATGGCACGAGGTTTTAATAAATCTGATGTGAGAAATACAATTTGTCGTCACTCGCAAGTATTTTATGAGTCTGTTTTCTTTGTTCGGTTCTCGTAACTCTTTAATCAAATTGTTAAATTATCCCAGTCGATCACGTCGTTTATTAATTGGGTGAATCTAGTATCTTGCTAAATGCTTGCTTTCAACTTCAGAAGGAGTATCTTTTTCCAGAAGACACCTTTTCTTTTTTGCTTGTTTTGTCACTGCAAAGGATACTACATAGACACATCCAACAATTACCGTTTACGTTTTAGCCGATTTTTGTAAACATGCGTGCAATTTTACGTCGTATCTGACATGTACTTCGTGCACGAATTTTCGTTTTGTTTTCGTTTTCGTGAATACAGCCGATAGTGTGGCCTAGGCTTTAATCTTTAAAATTTACAGAGCACCGTTCTCAAACGATTTATATATTACATATTTCTTTTTGTCACTTGCGTGTAAAGTCTATCAAGCGACAGTTGGCTATTTTGTATTTCTCGAGTCGACGAGGAACTTTGTTGTGAATGTGACCGAGTTTACAACGTAGTTTGATTCGATGGTTGATGCACATGCTATTAATAAACGTATATTCTATTCGTATGAATCGAAAACTATTTTAATAGAAGGCACTTTTTGTCGCGATATAATAAACGCCTATCATTCCCTTTCCATACACGTATCATTCTCGAATGGTTGTTTGGGGACGAGACAAACCTACTTAACTGCAAGTGGTGAAACAGTTACTGGTGTTGAAACTATCATGAATTTAAAACAAAATTGCTGCTCATTACGATGAACAAAGTTTTCTCAAGTATCACAGCGTTCATCCTTGTCTCGTTCATCCAACTCGTTCTCGTATCATACGTGTATCGTTCTCGTATCATACGCGTATCGTTCTCGTATCATACGCGTATCGTTCTCGTATCGTGTATCGTTCTCGTATCATACGTGTATCGTTCTCGTATCATACGTGTATCGTTCTCGTATCATACGTGTATCGTTCTCGTATCATACGTATCGTTCTCGTATCATACGTGTATCATTCTCGTATCATACGTGTATCGTTCTCGTATCATACGTGTATCGTTCTCGTATCATACGTGTATCGTTCTATCATACGTGTATGATACGAGAACGCAGACAAATAATGCAGACATAAATACGTCTGCCAATCACAATTGAGAAAGGAGAGCGTTTTTACAAAAAGATGATTTGGCCTAACTTTCTAACTTTTCCTACTTTACAATTCACGTATTAATCGGAAAATTCTCTGTATTACTTTACACCAATTAAGACACAAGTTATTATCTTAGATGTTGAAACTATCATGAATTCAGAGTTGGTAGCCATGCTTAACTCTCGATGTTGGTAAAACTGAATTCATGGAAATCAACTCAAAACAAAAGCTAAATAGAAGAAAAGTCTCTAAAAGTAACATTAAAGTCGATAAAAAATATTACACAGGTTTTAGAAAGTATAACATTATCCTGGATTTTTTTCGTATCTTTGACGTAACGTTATCGTATCATACATTTGAGAAACGTGAGCGTTACCTTACCTGTTAAATCATCGGTAAGAATTTGACAGATTGTGCTACTAATCATTTCCATAGTTTACGAAGACACCACGAAGCATTAGTCGGCATTCAATAATAAACACACTTACATTGTAACACTTAAATAGTCCGTGGCGATGACGTTTTTTGTTTGCATTCCGGGATATGTTCGGATATTTGTAACAGTTTCGGACATTAGCAACAGTTTTCGGGCTGAGGACATTTTAGCTACAAGTATTTCCGTTATACACGGATGGGGGAAATATCGAAGGAAATTCTTTGTCCGTAACTTCTCTACCCCTAAATCGACCAAGTCTTCCGTCCACCAAGTCCCGCTGCTCTTCGACGGTCATTTCCAACACTTTCATCAACTACTTCATCAAAGAAAATCAAAAGACCACCATCAAAAAAGATAAAGAAACATTGTATTGTTCACAAAGATTGTAAAATCACATCTATATTATTTTTCCATAACCAATAAATGTTTTATACATCAATTTAATAGTCAATTTCCTAGACAAAAAATGTGAGAGATCCTTCTTGATGAGAAGAAATCCACGAAAGATTTCATGGACTGTCCTTTACCGTAGAAAACACAAAAAGGGCTCAGTTGAAGAGGTCTCCAAAAAGAGAACGAGACGAAATGTTAAATTCCAAAGAGCCATCCAGGGTGCAACTCTCGAAACTTTTTTGGCCAAACGCAATCAAAAGCCTGAAGTAAGAAAAGCACAAAGAGAGAGCAGGCAATAAGGTATTAAAACAACTGTCTTGTGTCTTTAATATCTAAAAAATTACATCTTTTATGCTTGACTAGAAGATTTTTGATTTTGTTTCTCAGTGAAGATTCATTTTACCTACATTCCTACATTGTATGAGTGACAACTGTGAGAATATGAATTATAATCAGAGGGAAAAATTGAAAATCCTCAAAGTTAAACTGAATCAGATTTTGAGAAAATTGATTATTTTGATGATTTAAAAACATTTAGAGCTGCTAAAGATAAAATCAGGCAAAAGAAGGAGGCTAAAAAGATGACAAAGGTATGTAAAGGTTATACCAATTACTCAACTATTGTAAAGTAAACTAGGTTGGCTTTCTCAGTGGAATTTGCTGTTGATAAACTGCTTTGAACAAAAATTTTCTGTTCAAACATTGAAATTAATATTTATTAAAAACTTTGACTGTTTGTTTGTGTGTGGGCTATTTGTATGACAAACTTTTCATGACTAACTTTGGGCAAAATTATGACACATATTGTGAATTTAATTCCCTCACAAGTGAGTGATAAATTTCTTCATGAATTTCAATATTTATCATAGTTTTTAATGATTCGATGAATCGTTGTCACTTTATATTGTGTATCATAAAATAGAAACAGTAAAACGTATGCAGTTAGTCTATAGCTATGTTTGCAAACCATTCAAAGCTCAACCAATTAAAATCAATGAATCAATCAAAGAGAATTTACAAATCAATCATGAATACATTTAGAGGAAGAATTAAAACTTTTGTTTAAATTTGTCTGTTTACATTATGGTTATTTTGTAAAAGAAATAAAAGATGTTTTTTCATGTTTGCGCTGGCTTATGCAAACCTCAGAGACATTTGTGAGAACTCCCAAGCATGTGCAACCCTTGATGTTTGGTCTTGTGCTTGCAATGATCTGATCTTAATTTCTTGCAAGATCTTCTTGGTTTGCATTCTTGTAAAAACAGTAAGCATCTTTTATTTACTTCTTACATGAAGTAGACCATTCTTACTAAGATATCTCAATAACACTCATCATTTATTCAAGGCTGCACAACAACCAGTGAAGACAAAAGCTCAAACAAAACAAAAAGGTGGAAGAAGTACTGGTCGTGTTGGTGGAAAACGTTGAATGTAAATTATCACACATTTCACTATAATAAATGGTCATGGTTTAATGGTATTTGCATTTTTTTAGTTTTATGTTTTAATTCATGCTTCATTGTTCAATGCTGTGTAATCTGGTTGTGAATTAAGGATGAAAATTTGAATCACAATTTCAGATGTGAAACATAACCTCCTTCTACCCACGTAATCCCCACCTAGACCTTCCCCTAACCCCTATCTGCCGAACAAATCAAACCGATCAAATCTTCACTTGTTTCATAGAAGGCTGGTACCACTAAAACTAAACATTTAACGTGTAGAATGATCAATTCTTCACTAGTTTCATACAAGGCTGGTACCATTCGAACTAAACATTTAACTTGTAGACTAATCAAATCTTCACTTGTTTCATAGAAGGCTGGTACCACTAAAACTAAACATTTAACGTGTAGAATGATCAATTCTTCACTAGTTTCATACAAGGCTGGTACCACTAGAACTAAACATTTAACTTGTAGACTAATCAAATCTTCACTTGTTTCATACAAGGCTGGTACCACTAAAACTAAACATTTAACGTGTAGACTGATCAAATCTTCACTTGTTTCATACAAGGCTGCTACCACTAGAACTAAACATTTAACTTGTAGACTAATCAAATCTTCACTTGTTTCATACAAGGCTGGTACCACTAAAACTAAACATTTGACTTGTAGACTGATCAAATCTTCACTTGTTTCATACAAGGCTGGTACCACTAAAACTAAATATTTAACTTGTAGGATGATCAAATCTTCACTTGTTTCATACAAGGCTGGTACCACTAGAACTAAACATTTAACTTGTAGACTTATCAAATCTTCACTTGTTTCATACAAGGGCTGCTACCATTAAAACTAAACATTTAACTTGTAGACTGATCAAATCTTCACTTGTTTCATACAAGGGCTGCTACCATTAAAACTAAACATTTAACTTGTAGACTTATCAAATCTTCATTTGTTTAATACAAGGCTGCTACCATTAAAACTAAACATTTAACTTATAGAATGTATATTTTGGTTCACAAATGTTGCGTGAAAGCATGAAAATATATTGAAACTTACCCTTTGTAACTACAGGGTGCATGCAAAATGCAACCCATTGAAATCAGCAGACGTTTAACATATATGCATGATTCTTCAGCCGTAATCAACCTCCAATGAGACATAAACGTAATTGTAACGATAACACGAAATAATTTAATGATTGGCATTTTCAATGTGCTGGAGTTACAATTCATACGATCTCTTTACGCCTTTTTCCGTTTAGTCACATGCAAAGACTGCAATTTAGCACAGTAAATACTTAGTTGCGAGAGACTTGCCGAGCGGAAATCGAATTCGTGTAATAAAAATTAATGGCCAACATAAAGTTTTAATTAGAGCCATAGAAATAGACCAAAAACTACAATTTTAAAAAAAATTTTCTGCACCCCAGAAAGTAAAATCTTTGTAATTCAATGGTTCGTGGTAAATTTGTAATATATCATCATAAACGTGAGCACGTTATATTTTACAACTCTCCATAATCTGAAGGGTTCATTCCTACTGTAAAGTATAGTGAAGTAAGTTAACTGACTGTAAAATTCTAATTTCGTCGTGGATATGCAATTTGAGAGGGAGTGTATAGACAGTATAGAAAGACAAAGATCTGAGTCTTTTGACTGATTTTACGCAATTCATCATATTCACCTTAAAACCAAAGAATAGAACCTTGTTTAACATAGTAAGCATATTTATTGTATGTATAATAAATTAGAAAGCTCGTGTATATAAGAGAGCCTTTCTCAAATAAAAGTGCTTTATTATTCATATTACACCTTGGAAGCTCACTAAACATATTTTCTAAAGTTCTTTAATGTCGTGCATATTTTATATCGTTAGAACAGCGTCCATGCAAGACTTTCCACAAGGCTATTTTAGCCACAAGTATCACAGGCTTACATTTTCGCAAAAAGTTTTTCCGTTTTACACCCATTGTCATCTGTGTATTTCAACTTTAAACAGTTCAAATATCGATCTGAGAAATTCCTTTCCTCCAATGATAAAAAACGGACTTTCATAGGCTCACCATCATGTTTCATTAATGGTACTCTCTCATTATTTTCGGCCATCACAAATTCTGTAAACTGTCCATGCTGGTAGCCAATCAGAAGAGGGGTATTGATACAATCCACCGAATCAGATAACAGTGGTAAGTATATGCCATCAAGGTTTACACCAGCAATTGGTTCATCATAGTCACCACGATCAAAATCGTCACATATTACAAGAATTGGTCTTCGAAGAACGTTAGCTAAGGCAAATATATGAATCCCCTCGAGACAGTAAAAACTGTTTTGTGTAGTTGATTTTGTTGTTGTTGGAAGAGCGACTGTATTCTTCCAGTCTTCGTTCCACTGCTCGACACCAAAATCCATTGGTGTACCAGCATTTAGATCGTCCAACTGCCTTTCGACTTCCAACTGCCAGCGTTGTCGATACATGCCTAAAATGAAGTTTAAATGAGTAATGACTTATTTGTTCTTCGCGTGTTCCTGATCACACACCCGAGTTCCTTACCTGTCACATCTTTGGTAAGGATTTGACAGATTTATTGGTAACATAAAATAGTTCGCATAATCGTATGAAGCATGGCGGAAGCTTCAGCAATTGAGGTGAATCGCCAACAAATAAGAACAGAACTGCTTAATATTTTTAATTCAACAATACGGCTTTTGCTAGGGAATGTTGATCAAAATATTCTTGATCGGCTTGAACAACGTTTAGATTGGATACACAACATTGTTGTATGATATGTCGATTTTCGCACAATCTTTTCCAAACGTGGTCCTTCGAGCCGGATCTAGTAGCAGAATTCAAGAAGAACACAGAAATAGGATACAGGGTTGTTCACGATGTCAGAGCTGACAAAGCGACAGTAAGTCGAGTGGGCACAAATCGTACGCCACAAAGTTGAACAAGGTGAAGTATGAAAATGATAATGCGCCATTAAGGAAAGTTTAACTTCAGAACAAATGCGGCTTGTACTCCATTCAGAAATTAGATACAATTTCGAAGTTGGACGGTGATGAGATTCAGAGCTTGTTGGAAAGGATGATAGATATTGCAGCAGATATTGACGGCTCATCGGAATACGGCTGCAGAAGTTTGGGCGCGTTGGCCGAAAGAAATCAACGAAGCGCTGAGCACGATAGAGACAAACAAAGCGAAATGAGGAACTCGCCAACACATCAGCAGTACGGTATCCAGTTGAGCCTTTAAGTAGAGTAAAGCTGCCTAAACTAGAGGTGAAAAGTTCTCGGGCAAGATACAAGATTGGCGTGGTTCGGACTCTTTCAGAAAGTTCCATTCACAACAATGACGGATTGTCAGGAGGTCGACAAATTCACCTATCTGAGGGACTGGTGGAGGAGCCGGCAAGTCAGTTCGGGATTTGCTCTGACTTCGTCAACTATGCAGAAGCCTTGAAGGTGTTAGAACGGAGATACAGGAGCAAAGTGGTGCAAAGGCACACGTAAATGAAATGATGAACCTAAAGCCCGTGTACAACGAGAATGATACGATGAGGCTGCGCAAGTTCTTTGACGCCGTGGAAACGAATTATCGAGGAGCGCTCCGGTGTAAAGAAGGAGGAGGAAACGTACTGCGAGATAGTCGTGCCCAATCTTCTAACAAAATGCCGGACTCATTCAAACTGACGATTACGGGAAGAGCTACTGCCAGAGTGGGGCATGAAAGATTTATCGACGCATTACAAGCCGAAGTGGAGCTGCGGGAATGCCACAAATTAGCGGTCGGGAGAGAAAGATCAACAGAAAGACGACAGGAACCGGAACAGCTATGGGTTGTTTGCCAGCCGCAACCGGTGTTTTGTGCTGCGGAAAGCACAAAGCATGAAATGTACCAAAGATAACAAGGGCGGCAAGAACGGATGCAACTTCTTCGTAAGTTCAAACGATGTTTCATTTGTTTAAATAAGGGACATTTATCTAAAGATTGTCGTGCACGTATTAAATGTAGCGTATGTGGGGAGGGTCATCATATTTCTATATGTGATAAGATTAATAATAACCAGAAGGAAGGAGGTCATCAGAAAGATGAAAGAAATAGTCGGGAAGAAAGTGGACAGGTTAGTGTAGCTAATGTTCGTGTTAGTACTAGAAGTAGAGTGGCTCTTCAAACTGCGCAGGGAGTACTTATAGGAAAGGGTAAGACAAGAGTGCGAGTGCTTTTCGACTAGGGAAGTCAGAAATCCTTTGTGCATTGTTCAGTTTTGATCTTCTTCTCAGACTCTAAGTCATACTCAAGTTGCAATGCCTTTGCATAACATTGTGAACACAAGTTATCATTCTATGAGAAAGCAAAGTATTTACATTCTTCAGTCAGACATTTTGTCTTGACTGCTTCCACATTCGATGTTGATTTTTGCCTGATGGGGCTACCATAACTGACCCCTCTTGAAATAATGCATGTAATTTGATGAAACAAACAGAACATAGGCCTTCATAATCTGGGTTGGCAGGGTAACCACAGCCAGGAGAAGTACAAATACGTGTGTTGTCTGTGTTTCTATATTGATGACAATAATTGCTTTCGATACTGGCAATATTCAATAAATATTTACCGAAATTTATTCCGTTAAATAAGCTGGGCGATCGAAACATTGGCTACATGTGTCTTATCTTGGTGTTTGCGAAATATATTAAGGTACATTAAGGCTGAGGACTACAATCTGTCTAATTTTACCTTACTATACTTTACACTTGGAATGAACCCTTTAGACTGTGCAGAGTT